TGAGTACGTGTCCTGCCCGCCGCCGCCGTCTGTGCATCGTGCAGAGGTGACTTTATGTAGATCATACAGGAGGCTGGACTACTCACATCTGACCTCCGGCCTCCCCTAGAGACTTATATCTGGCCTCCGTCCTCCCCTACAGTCTTCTATCTGACCTCCGCCCTCCCCTTCAGTCTTCTATCTCACCTCTGGCCAGATATAAGACTGAAAGGAAGGACGGAGGTCAGATATAAGAGTGACGGGGAGGACGGAGGTCAGATAGAAGACTGAAGGGGAGGACGGAGGTCAGATAGAAGACTGAAGGGAAGGACGGAGGTCAGATAGAAGACTGAAGGGAAGGACGGAGGTCAGACAGAAGGGAAGGACGGAGGTCAGATAGAAGACTGAAGGGGAGGACAGAGGTCAGATAGAAGACTGAAGGGAAGGACGGAGGTCAGATATAAGACTGAAGGGAAGGACGGAGGTCAGATAGGAGACTGAAGGGAAGGACGGAGGTCAGACAGAAGACTGAAGAGAAGGACGGAGGTCAGATAGAAGACTGAAGGGGAGGACGGAGGTCAGATAGGAGACTGAAGGGGAGGACGGAGGTCAGATAGAAGACTGAAGGGGAGGACGGAGGTCAGATATGACTACTGGCCCCTCCCACCAGCCATGATCTGACTGCATAGAGAAGCACAGAAGCCCAGTAATGACATCACCAGGACTAAGATAAGGTATGTTAATTAGGGGGGAGGGGGGACCAGGAAAGGAAAAATGTCAGCAGATTAAACTTTAATGCGTTTAGCACTATTTTGGGGGCCTGCAGAGGAAGACATGTAGAGGAAAGAGGGAGGATAGGACAGAAGAATTTATAGTTGAATTGGGGAGATGAGACAATGTATCGGAGCGGACACTCGGAGATACAAATCGGGGTCAGAATTATATGGAGGAAGTTACTTTGTATCTCTGGTGGTGGAATGGACAGAAATGGGATCATCTTCATAGTCTAGATTTTCCCCCCACAGACATCGTTCGCGATTCTTATATTAAAGATCGTTGTTGTTGTCAGAATTCCGTCACATGATCACTCCTCTCCTGCAGATCCAAGCTCGGGATGCCGCAGTTTTTAAGCTCCGAAGCGCAGAGTCTGCTGAGAATGTTGTTCAAACGAAATCCTGTGAACCGATTAGGTGAGTGTCCGGCGGGCGAGAAAAATCCGATCTTCACAACGTTTCCCGTCTCCGGTTTTATGTCCTCAATCAGTTACACCCATCGTAGTGATTGGTCTAATGACGGCCCATCAGACTGCTATTGTGACACATCCTAAATATAGAGCCATTTATACAACTGTCCATCCAGAGCCGCCATTTATAGACCGGATACATCCTAAATATAGAGCCATCTATCCAACTGTCCATCCAGAGCCGCCATTTATAGACCGGATACATCCTAAATATAGAGCCATCTATCCAACTGTCCATCCAGAGCCGCCATTTATAGACCGGATACATCCTAAATATAGAGCCATCTATCCAACTGTCCATCCAGAGCCGCCATTTATAGACCGGATACATCCTAAATATAGAGCCATCTATCCAACTGTCCATCCAGAGCCGCCATTTATAGACCGGATACATCCTAAATATAGAGCCATCTATCCAACTGTCCATCCAGAGCCGCCATTTATAGACCGGATACATCCTAAATATAGAGCCATCTATCCAACTGTCCATCCAGAGCCGCCATTTATAGACCGGATACATCCTAAATATAGAGCCATCTATCCAACTGTCCATCCAGAGCCGCCATTTATAGACCGGATACATCCTAAATATAGAGCCATCTATCCAACTGTCCATCCAGAGCCGCCATTTATAGACCGGATACATCCTAAATATAGAGCCATCTATCCAACTGTCCATCCAGAGCCGCCATTTATAGACCGGATACATCCTAAATATAGAGCCATCTATCCAACTGTCCATCCAGAGCCGCCATTTATAGACCGGATACATCCTAAATATAGAGCCATCTATCCAACTGTCCATCCAGAGCCGCCATTTATAGACCGGATACATCCTAAATATAGAGCCATCTATCCAACTGTCCATCCAGAGCCGCCATTTATAGACCGGATACATCCTAAATATAGAGCCATCTATCCAACTGTCCATCCAGAGCCGCCATTTATAGACCGGATACATCCTAAATATAGAGCCATCTATCCAACTGTCCATCCAGAGCCGCCATTTATAGACCGGATACATCCTAAATATAGAGCCATCTATCCAACTGTCCATCCAGAGCCGCCATTTATAGACCGGATACATCCTAAATATAGAGCCATCTATCCAACTGTCCATCCAGAGCCGCCATTTATAGACCGGATACATCCTAAATATAGAGCCATCTATCCAACTGTCCATCCAGAGCCGCCATTTATAGACCGGATACATCCTAAATATAGAGCCATCTATCCAACTGTCCATCCAGAGCCGCCATTTATAGACCGGATACATCCTAAATATAGAGCCATCTATCCAACTGTCCATCCAGAGCCGCCATTTATAGACCGGATACATCCTAAATATAGAGCCATCTATCCAACTGTCCATCCAGAGCCGCCATTTATAGACCGGATACATCCTAAATATAGAGCCATCTATCCAACTGTCCATCCAGAGCCGCCATTTATAGACCGGATACATCCTAAATATAGAGCCATCTATCCAACTGTCCATCCAGAGCCGCCATTTATAGACCGGATACATCCTAAATATAGAGCCATCTATCCAACTGTCCATCCAGAGCCGCCATTTATAGACCGGATACATCCTAAATATAGAGCCATCTATCCAACTGTCCATCCAGAGCCGCCATTTATAGACCGGATACATCCTAAATATAGAGCCATCTATCCAACTGTCCATCCAGAGCCGCCATTTATAGACCGGATACATCCTAAATATAGAGCCATCTATCCAACTGTCCATCCAGAGCCGCCATTTATAGACCGGATACATCCTAAATATAGAGCCATCTATCCAACTGTCCATCCAGAGCCGCCATTTATAGACCGGATACATCCTAAATATAGAGCCATCTATCCAACTGTCCATCCAGAGCCGCCATTTATAGACCGGATACATCCTAAATATAGAGCCATCTATCCAACTGTCCATCCAGAGCCGCCATTTATAGACCGGATACATCCTAAATATAGAGCCATCTATCCAACTGTCCATCCAGAGCCGCCATTTATAGACCGGATACATCCTAAATATAGAGCCATCTATCCAACTGTCCATCCAGAGCCGCCATTTATAGACCGGATACATCCTAAATATAGAGCCATCTATCCAACTGTCCATCCAGAGCCGCCATTTATAGACCGGATACATCCTAAATATAGAGCCATCTATCCAACTGTCCATCCAGAGCCGCCATTTATAGACCGGATACATCCTAAATATAGAGCCATCTATCCAACTGTCCATCCAGAGCCGCCATTTATAGACCGGATACATCCTAAATATAGAGCCATCTATCCAACTGTCCATCCAGAGCCGCCATTTATAGACCGGATACATCCTAAATATAGAGCCATCTATCCAACTGTCCATCCAGAGCCGCCATTTATAGACCGGATACATCCTAAATATAGAGCCATCTATCCAACTGTCCATCCAGAGCCGCCATTTATAGACCGGATACATCCTAAATATAGAGCCATCTATCCAACTGTCCATCCAGAGCCGCCATTTATAGACCGGATACATCCTAAATATAGAGCCATCTATCCAACTGTCCATCCAGAGCCGCCATTTATAGACCGGATACATCCTAAATATAGAGCCATTTATCCAACTGTCCATCCAGAGCCGCCATTTATAGACCACGTACATCCCACATATATGTCTGATTATGCTGTTTGTATAGCGCTGTCTTGCTCTTGTTGGCTCTCATCAGTGCAGTATGTGGAGATAATGGCCCCTCGGTGGTAGGACATGGGGGTCAGTGATGGCAGATAACCGGTTATGGTCCAGTTATAGGGACGGGTCCAGAAAGTAAGTGTTAACCCTCACTGATGGAATCTCTGTGTTTCTAGGTGCCGGCCTGGACCGGGTGGAGGAGATAAAACGACATCCGTTCTTTGCTACTATTGACTGGAATGTGAGTTATTTTCTTCTTCTTGTTATGTTTATAGTATAACTTGAGGTGAGGCTTAGAGGTACTGTTGGGGTTAAAGTTCGTGTTGGGATTATTGTTTGAGTTACTGATTGGGTTAGAGTTAGTGTTAGGTTTATGCTTAGGATAAGAGTTTGTCTTGGGGTCGGAGCTTGTCTTGGGGTTGGAGCTTGTCTTGGGGTCGGAGCTTGTCTTGGGGTCGGAGCTTGTCTTGGGGTCGGAGCTTGTCTTGGGGTGGGAGCGTGTCTTGGGGTCGGGGCACTTGGGGATGGAGCGTGTCTTGGGGATGGAGCGTGTCTTGGGGATGGAGCGTGTCTTGGGGTTGTAGCATGTCTTGGGGTCGGAACGTGTCTTGGGGTTAAAGTTCAGTAGGAACTGAAGAGTTTGGCTCCTGGTCCTCTTGTTGGAAACATTCTGTGGTTGGGATTATGAATTTAGGGAAATAGAAGGTTTCTGTTGGGATCAGTGGATATGCTGAACAGAGTCTATCATAGTCGGTGTTGGTGTTGCAGGTTGTGTCCTCTTGTGGGACATGCCCTCGGGGGTTGGGGGTCTAATATGTGTTGTAACAGAGACAGGTGCACACACAGTACATAGGGGATAGAGGAAGATGAACGTGATTCTCCTCCTCTGCTCGAGTTTCGTTATTGTTCTGAATTTCCTTTGTCTTGTTCTCTGATTTTAGAAGCTGTACAGGTGTGAAATTCAGCCGCCGTTCAAACCTGCTTCCGGAAAACCCGAGGACACGTTCTGTTTTGATCCGGAGTTCACAGCCAAAACGCCGAAAGGTTTGTTGATTCCTTCTCTTTACACATTGTAACGAGCCGACGGCCGATCTTCCAGACTCCGGTATAAACTGCGGAGTCGGATGGAGAGTGAACGCTGACGAGACGCGTTTCGGGCTTTTCATGAACAGACACCACAGGGGGGTGTTCAGAGGAAGCCGCAGACCCAAATATGTGAGAAAGTAACAAGATGAATCGTTTATACACAACGCAGCTAAAGGAAGGTACACGGACCTTATAATAGACGATTATGGTAAGGTTAAAGCTCATCATCGGCCTTCCCTTCAGTCTTCACAGTCAGAGGCGGCCCTTTAATTAGGCAAATTAGGCGGTCGCCTTAGGCCTCGCGCTCCCGAGGGCCTCGCGGCCGCCTAGTTTGCCCTGTCAGGACGTCAGCCAGGTAGCGTTGTGAGCTCTCATCCCTGTAGCTCTGAAACTGAGATTCTCAGTTTGAGAGCTACGGGGATGAGAGCTCACCCGTTACCTCGATCGTTGGTGCGGACCATCGGCTCGGTCTTCTGCACGCCCACCAGCCAATGAGAAGAGACCTCACCCCTGCTGGTGAGACCCACAGAACCATGTTGGGACCCTACCCTGGTGGGCTCTTTGGGATTTCACCAGGGCTCTGTGGGGTCTAACCAGGCTGGTTAGACCCCACAGAGCCCTAGTGAGACCCAGGGCTTTGTAGGGTCTGCCCACGGCTCCGAGGGGTTTCAACAAGACTGGTGAGACCCCCACAGAGCCCTGGTGAGACCCCACTGAGCCCTAGTTTAACCAGGACTCTTTGGGGTGTCACCAGGGCACTGAGGGGTCTAACCAGGCTGATGAAACCGCACAGAGCCCTGGTAAGACCCCACAGGCCTGAGTGTGGCCTCATGTTTAGGTTTCGCCTAAGGCCTCGCAAATTCTAGAGCCGCCTCTGTACCGGCTCCTCTTCCTCTGAGGTCTCTGCACACTGGGAGCTCCTCACCATGTGCATTAGAAGCAGCAGCAAGTCACATAGAGCTCCGCCTCATTTCCTGGCTAGATTGCATAGAGAAGCACGGAGATCAGTGATGACATCTCCAAGTATAAAATAAGTTATGTAATGAAGAGGGAAAGCTTTTACTTATAGATGCACCGATACCGGTTTTTCGGTATCGAGTACCGACACTTATATTTCGGTACTCGTCGATACCGAGTACCGAGTACCGGTACTTCTGGTAACATTGAGCCGGCTTCCCGGGGCAATCAGGAAGCCAGGAAGGAGTGACACGACCCCCCAACCTGCAGGCACCTAATTCCCCCTCACATAGATCCTCAGCATTCTTTAAGGTACCAGCCCCTCGGCCAGCTGGGCAGACACCGCTCTCCCGGATCTCCCCACGTCTCCTGTGTGTACAGCGCCCGCGTGATCGGCCCTCAGCCTGCTGCTGCGCATGCGCAGACTGCCCAGCGCTCTCATTCAGAAATCCCGTGCATGCGCAGTAGCGGGCTGAGCGCAGATCACGCGAGTGCTGTGCACACAGGAGACGGCAGATCTGGCCGAGGGACTGGTACGTTAAGGAATGCTAAGGATCTATGTGAGGGGAATTAGGTGCCTGCAGGGGTGGGGGGCGTGTCGCTATATTATCAGATTTCTTTGCCCGGCTTGACACTGATTGGCTGGGAAGCCGGCTTCCCGGCCAATCAGCTTCGAGCCGGCCAAACAGCATGGAGACAGCTTCCGGGCTCCATCTTTCCTCGCGGCACTGCCGGTCAGAGGAAATCTCCCTCTGACCGGAAGTTCTAGTATCGGAAAAGGTATCGGAGCATTTGGTATCGGTGCATCCCTAGTTTTACTCAATATTTTCATTAGCACGTTGATGATGTTCTAGAAATTTATATCGTATTTAAATCCGCTGCGCTTAAAAGCACAGTCCTCTGCCCTCCCGGTATAATTTGGCTGAACGCGCTCAGCAAGGAAACACAGACACTCGCTGTTGTCTCGTCAGATCCCCAGTCGCTGTCCTCCTCACTGGAGGAAGACTTCTTTATTTATCGGGGTAACACAGGAAGTGCCGGCCACAACAGCCACCACTTCCTCCTACAACAATAGAATACAGAGCCAGCCAATGAAACACATGTATACATCTGAATAGACAATAGAAAAGGGGAGGGTATGCTCATGCATGTGAAACACCATGCACAGTTACCAGCTGCTAGTTCATGTTTCACGTGCACATTTATTAACAATGGATTTCCCGCCAAAAACACATGTTTGCACATGGACGACGCCATCTTTAATCTCCCGTTAACACTGGAGCGAACTTTATCCAGCATTGCTCAGTGAGCAATGCCCAATAAAGTTATTATGATTCGCATTGATGGGAGCTTATCTGCAGGGACAATGCCATACTACTTCCAGCGCGCTGATCAGACGCATCAGAAATACCAACGCACGTTCCTTTTAAAAAGGCAGATATGTATCTTAAATAATACTATGTCCTCAAATGTATACACGCCACGCCAATAAATCCGCACACCGCGCAGGGGCTCTAGCTTGGCATCCACGCACTCGCTAAGAGAACATTGCTCCAATCGAGCGTGACGCAGAAATCCGGACACTGAGACACGATGACAATATTACACTAATATGAGGGAAAATGAGGAAAAAGAGGGACCCGGGGAGGTCAAGTTATATGCTGATTAAACTTCGCCTTCCATTTTACCCGATGAGGCAGTTTTCTTATCTGAAGGTCTCTCTTCTGAATAAGGATGGGCCCGGGCGTGTTCGCAGCTCCACGTGCCGAGCCCGCCAGGAAGCTGACAGCGCCGCAGCGCCAATCACAGGTACTGAGACATTTTCTCCTGCACTGGGCAGACACCGCTCTCCCGGATCTCCCCACGTCTCCTGTGTGTACAGCGCCCGCGTGATCGGCCCTCAGCCTGCTGCTGCGCATGCGCAGACTGCCCAGCGCTCTCATTCAGAAATCCCGTGCATGCGCAGTAGCGGGCTGAGCGCAGATCACGCGAGTGCTGTGCACACAGGAGACGGCAGATCTGGCCGAGGGACTGGTACGTTAAGGAATGCTAAGGATCTATGTGAGGGGAATTAGGTGCCTGCAGGGTGGGGGGTCGTGTCGCTATATTATCAGATTTCTTTGCCCGGCTTGACACTGATTGGCTGGGAAGCCGGCTTCCCGGCCAATCAGCTTCGAGCCGGCCAAACAGCATGGAGACAGCTTCCGGGCTCCATCTTTCCTCGCGGCACTGCCGGTCAGAGGAAATCTCCCTCTGACCGGAAGTTCTAGTATCGGAAAAGGTATCGGAGCATTTGGTATCGGTGCATCCCTAGTTTTACTCAATATTTTCATTAGCACGTTGATGATGTTCTAGAAATTTATATCGTATTTAAATCCGCTGCGCTTAAAAGCACAGTCCTCTGCCCTCCCGGTATAATTTGGCTGAACGCGCTCAGCAAGGAAACACAGACACTCGCTGTTGTCTCGTCAGATCCCCAGTCGCTGTCCTCCTCACTGGAGGAAGACTTCTTTATTTATCGGGGTAACACAGGAAGTGCCGGCCACAACAGCCACCACTTCCTCCTACAACAATAGAATACAGAGCCAGCCAATGAAACACATGTATACATCTGAATAGACAATAGAAAAGGGGAGGGTATGCTCATGCATGTGAAACACCATGCACAGTTACCAGCTGCTAGTTCATGTTTCACGTGCACATTTATTAACAATGGATTTCCCGCCAAAAACACATGTTTGCACATGGACGACGCCATCTTTAATCTCCCGTTAACACTGGAGCGAACTTTATCCAGCATTGCTCAGTGAGCAATGCCCAATAAAGTTATTATGATTCGCATTGATGGGAGCTTATCTGCAGGGACAATGCCATACTACTTCCAGCGCGCTGATCAGACGCATCAGAAATACCAACGCACGTTCCTTTTAAAAAGGCAGATATGTATCTTAAATAATACTATGTCCTCAAATGTATACACGCCACGCCAATAAATCCGCACACCGCGCAGGGGCTCTAGCTTGGCATCCACGCACTCGCTAAGAGAACATTGCTCCAATCGAGCGTGACGCAGAAATCCGGACACTGAGACACGATGACAATATTACACTAATATGAGGGAAAATGAGGAAAAAGAGGGACCCGGGGAGGTCAAGTTATATGCTGATTAAACTTCGCCTTCCATTTTACCCGATGAGGCAGTTTTCTTATCTGAAGGTCTCTCTTCTGAATAAGGATGGGCCCGGGCGTGTTCGCAGCTCCACGTGCCGAGCCCGCCAGGAAGCTGACAGCGCCGCAGCGCCAATCACAGGTACTGAGACATTTTCTCCTGCATGTGTCACGGCCTTAACTCCTGAAGTGCAGACAGTAATGGACGTAGTTTATTCTTAAGCTGTCATGTCTTCTCTGTCCCCTGGTGTCCTTCTAGACTCTCCCGGAGTCCCTCCCAGTGCCAATGCCCACCAGCTCTTCAAAGGCTTCAGCTTTGTGGCTCCGTCCTCCATTGAGGAACATAAATTATGCTCGGTCACCACCACCCTGCCCATTGTACAGGTAGGTCTCATTCAGCTCCCAGGGGATAGGACGGCACTTCCGTTAACCGACAAGCTCATCCTCACCCTGCAGTAACTCTGTTTGTGTGTTCTGTAGCAGTTCCACAGGAGCCGGGCGCAGTTCACAGACGTCTACGACCTTAAGGAGGATATTGGTGTCGGCTCCTACTCCATCTGTAAACGCTGCATTCACCGGGCGACCAACATGGAGTACGCAGTCAAGGTACACGCGGCGGCTTCCTGCTCCCAGCAGCAGCAGCTCCTCCCACTAGTTGGGCTCAGGTCTTCTTTCCCACATCTGAATCTAAAGAACGCAGAGGGTTCTGTATGTTGCTTCTGCGGATCAGTCAGCTGGGTTGCAGCACAAAAAAAAAGATTGCATGTCTCATTTTTCTGTGCTCTCCCAGAATATGCAGCTCAGGCAGAGACATCTCTGTACTGGGACTTGTATGTCGGGATTTAAAACCTATGAACATTTTCAGGATGTCTCTGTAAATCACATTGTCACATACTCGGTGGAGACTGAAATTGAGGGGCGACTTCTCTTCTTAGCCAAGTGTCCCTGGTAGTGGTGACAGGAGACACAAAATGATCCAAAGTCAAGAACAGACGGGGGTCATCAACAGGCAGCAGTACCAGTCAGGAGGCAGGAGGTCAGGAATAGTCACGGGTCATCCACAGGTAGGCAGCAGCAGTACCAGACAGGAAGAAGGTCAGGAATAGTCAGGGGTCATTTACAGGTAGGCAGCAGCAGTACCAGGCAGGAGACAGGAGGAAGGTCTGGAATAGTCAGGGGTCATTCACAGGCAGGCAGGTAGGCAGCAGTACCAGACAGGAGGAAGGTCAGGAATAGTCAGGGGTAATTTACAGGTAGGCAGCAGCAGTGCCAGGCAGGAGACAGGAGGAAGGTCAGGAAAAGTAATGGGTCATCCACAGGTAGGCAGCAGCAGTACCAGGCAGGAGACAGGAGGAAGGTCTGGAATAGTCAGGGGTAATTTACAGGCAGGTAGGCAGCATCAGTACCAGGCAGGAGACAGGAGGAAGGTCTGGAATAGTCAGGGGTAATTTACAGGCAGGCAGGCAGCAGCAATACCAGGCTGGAGACAGGAGGAAGGTCTGGAATAGTCACGGGTCATCCACAGGTAGGCAGCAGCAGTACCAGGCAGGGGAGAAGGGTAAGGTCGGAAATGGGCTGGAATTAACATAATTCATGAAGGAGTAGTACGAGGCAGGAGACAGGTAAAAGGTCAGGAACAGACTGGGATTATCAACAGGCAGGCAGCAGTAGTAGTAGTACCAGGCAGGAAACAAGGGCAAGATCAGAAACAGGTTAGATTTGACATCAGTCAGGGAAGAGTAGTACCAGGCAGGAGACACGGGGAAGGTTAGGAACAGGCTTAGATTGTTGGCAGGCAGGAGACAGTTTCAAGGTCAGGAACAGGCATGCAGGCAGCAGCAGCGCTAGGCAGGCGACAGGTTCAGGTTCAGGAACAGGCCGAGGTCCACAATGGTTCACAGGTAGCAAAGTACAAAGTGAGTGTTGATAATCCTCCCTATATAAAGCACACAACACAGGAGGGATTTCCTTGTCACTGCCATAAGATGGTTTCTCCTCCAGCGGTACACAAGGTTTGTTACGTTTTAATTTGATGTATTTTTATTTTTTTTGGCTCTTTTTCCCTCAAAAATCCATCCCAGGCAGGAACTCCCAGCAATGCGTTGTGAAATATGATGTTACATAAAGTCTGTGCTAATCAAATACCTGAAAACTGTTTATATTTTAAAACCCGTTCTCAAACGAGCTCCAGACGGCGATCTCCAAAAGGCTCCGATAGAAGCTGATCGTTCCGCCGAGCTTTGCACATTGCGTTGTATCTTTTATCTCTTTTATCTGAGAGGAATGATAAATAACAGTAAAAAGTCTTGCGGCGGCTTATCAGGCTCTCACACACGGCCCATCTTTGTTGCAGATCATCGACAAGAGCAAGAGGGATCCGTCGGAAGAGATTGAGATCTTGATGCGGTACGGGCAGCATCCGAACATCATCACTCTGAAAGATGTAAGCGCTGCTCCCATCCTTTCTGTATCCGTCCATTCGTCTGACATATACGGCTTCAGCTTCTAGGGCCTGGTCCCTGAGGTCTGAGGACTTCCTGTGGCTGTCATGTTCAGTCTTCTACAAAAGGGCGCAAAGGCAGAACATAACAGGAAACACTTGCATATAAGTCCAGGGACCAGCGGAAGGGTGGCCTGGGGGGAGGATCGGAGCGCACGCCCGAATCTGGCTGGTCTGCTCCCTGAAAGTGTTCGGGCAGGGGCGTCCCGAGCCTGGGTGACACACGGAGCGGTAACAGAGTGTCACCCGCCGCCGAGACGTCACTGTGCATGCGCGGCAGTATTCTGATACCTGCCGGCCGGCCATCTTGGTGATGGACGCCGGCAGAGAGAGGAGGGGACAGTTACCGGGCGGGATAAGGTATGCTGCCGGGTCCCCTCCTGATACTGTCGGGCGTTTGGTCCATTACTTTTCAGCGGGGGGTGACACCAAAATGACTGCGAGTCACTTTGGTGTCACCCCTCCAATGGTGTCACCTGGG